ATGCCATGCATATTACACGCAAGTATTTTCAAAAAGAAAAAACCCATTGGATCAACAGTGGAGGGCAGAGGCTAAACTTCCCTCCTGCAGATCACCAACTCACCCATACCACTTGTTCACCACCTTGTAAAAACTATGCCATTGTTAATAACTAGAAGGGTGTTTTGCTTAATTTTGGCTCTTAAACTGTTACTTGCAGTATCATGCTCAGATAAGAGGTATTAATCCCTCTGAGATGCTTGCAGTTCAGACCTCCTGCAGATCACCAACTCACCCATACCACTTGTTCACCACCTTGTAAAAACTATGCCATTGTTAATAACTAGAAGGGTGTTTTGCTTAATTTTGGCTCTTAAACTGTTACTTGCAGTATCATGCTCAGATAAGAGGTATTAATCCCTCTGAGATGCTTGCAGTTCAGACCCCTATGGAATATCTATAATGACAATAGCAAACTTTTAGCCTCCAATTTAATGCAACTGATTTTTCAAAATGCTGTGCATTCAAATGGCTTTGCAGTCTTTTTTCAAGTGTAACCTGCTAAAATCCACTGTTTAGCCTTTTCTGCAATTCCTGTAAAAAAAAAAAAAAAGCAACCTTTGAGCATGCCTAGGAGGTTGAGGTCCTTGGTGAGAAGCATAAAGTACTTTAGATGAGATGCCACTAAAGAGGTATTGAGTTTCCTCAGTAAAATATATTGCAAAATGCTGTTACCTTTAGAGGAGTCCCAATAGCATTATCATTCATTTGGCCTAATATGGCTGTGATAAGCAGAAGTTGTCATGTTTACTACTCTGTACGACCCTTACAGCCATTTTGAATACGGAGGCTGAATATGCTGCTTGATCAAATAATCATCGTTACCTTGAACAATCTGTGTGGTTGAGAGGCATCTGTTCCATTTTATTCAATAATTACTGTATGTTTTCTTGCTTTTGCCACATTATCATTTCTAAAGCATCTTATCTATATTACAATATGTATAGAAAAAGCTTTTAGGCATCATAACTGAATTAGCCTGAGTTGGGGACCTCTTAATTTACCTCTTCTGATGGTGTTTCTTCAGCTAGTTTCATCCCTGGCATGTCACTAAATATACCAAAATGAAGATTCTTCTTAGCTCCTAAAAAGGTCAGAACTGAATAGCCTTGTACTAACTGTGATTTTTGGTCCTGGCTTGAAAGCAGATTGATGAAATATGATGTAGTCCTTGCAGCGTCACTTAATAGCTTCCATTTAGGGATTATCCTTTTTGCATAAATTGGACAATCTTCCCAGAATCGTGAGGAGGAGGTGAATCCCTGGCCAAGGGGAATGTTGCTGCAGCTGCTCTAAATTCTGACATATGTCTGCACTTCAAGGTTACTTTTGAGATAAATTCAATATTTAAATAGGGGAGATGCCTGATGCCTTTTCCATTATCTTCACTACAGTGATACAAATTCCTGTTCTAAGTAGTATCTAGCTGTTTCATACAATTACTTAGGTATGTTATGAGTTTCCTTTTGGTGTGGAGCTAAGTTCATTCAGAGACTGCAACATGGAAATTCATAAAGATGCACAAAGAAAGTACCGTTTCTTTAGTTTGTGCCAGAAGTGCTTATTCACCGAGAGGGAAAAAGCAAAACTGACCAAACGATGAGCAAATTTTGATTTGAATTTTAATGTATCTGATTCTTAGACAATTGGGGTTTTTTTTCCCATCTCAGTATTTAAATAACTCAGGTGTTGTAAGAAAACTTGTTGAAACAAAGAATATAAATTATGTCATGTGAATTGTTATTTGTAAAAATAAACTTATCTTCTATAATGACAACTGAATTGTATTTTTTACTCCTAGCACGAACCTGGAAGGAAATACCCTTCATGTTTTGACCCCTTTAGAAAAGATTTATTACAAAGGAAAAAATATGCCGTAATAATCTTTTTGAGAGAATAGAAACAGGGACATTTGAACAAAAAACATTCTGTAAGAAATGGTATTTTCGGGTTTATTTTTTAGTACAGGAGATATTATGAAGATTAGAAATGTAATTAACAAATACAATTATTCAGTAAAACAGCAAAAGCCAGTAGATAAAATGCATCCTATAAAGTAGCTTTAAACTTGGTGTTGTGTCATACAAGTGGCTAGCACCCTCTTCCCAGTCTCCACCCAGTTCGCTCTGTCAGGTGTGGAGTGCATGGACAAGAATCTCAGATGGTGGCCTCACTTGATCAGTGGGTTGATGCCATGCAGGTAACATAATTATGCAAACGGTAGTTGAATGCAAGGTCACAGATTCAATTTTTTGCATCTCCAGGTTTGTTTGCTTGTTGTAAAATATTGCTAGCTGACAGGTAATGTGGGAAGACAGCTAGAAAGCCACTCTACTGCACAAACTGACAGTATGGAGCTAGGTGGACAAGGACCATCAAGGAGCATCCTGAAGCACTAGCCCTTTGAAATGAACTTGGGAACAAACTCAGGGACGAGCAGCCCTGTTGTAACTCACTGAACAACACAGTGGTGATTTAATTATCTTTCTCAGTTCACCATTGACTACCTATAAGGAATTTAGATGTAGTGCTACTTTTAAAACAGAAGATGGCAGCCGTGTATATTATTTAAAACTTGTATTTTTCAACATCAGTTGTCATTCATACCCCTGTAAAAATGACGTTTTCTGATTAAAATATCCTGCACTGAATGCCAGCTTGCTGTGATTTTTAATTTTCTATCAGTGCAACTGTTCCTTAAAACCATATGAAGATAATATAACTGAAGTGTGCAAAACTTTCCAGGATCTTCATCAGGTGAGATAGAGAAAAATCTAGCAAGCTTGTGGGAGGTGGCTGTTTTATGCAACCTGATACAGGGGTTTTACCTTTTGAGGCTTCGTGCCTTCCAACTGCTAGATAAAACATTTTTTTAAAAAAATTACCTGTTACAAACTTTTAAATTATTTACAGCTTTGCTTATATAAATCAGTCTTGTATTTCTCCACTTGTTTCCCAGCTTTCAAGTATTCTATATTTTGTCTTGAGGAGGATATGGTTGAGAGTATTTTATAGTTGCCAAAGTGAAATTAAGCCTTCCAAACCTGATAGAGCC